AAATTTCTGCACTGGGGGGCGCCTGGGTGGCTCAGTCAGTTAGCTTCCGATTCTTGATCTTGGCTCAGGTCATGATCTCATATCATGATGTGATTATGATATGATAATCACGAGTGTGATTATGACAGGCTCCACACTGGGCAGAGAAGCTGCTTGGGATTCTCTCTCTCAGGCTGCCTGGGTGGCTCAGGTGGTTAAGCATCAGTCTTCGGCTCAGGTTATGATCTCACAGTTCACAGGTTCAAGCCCCACGTTGGACTCCGCGCTAGCAGTGCAGAGCCTGATTGGGATCCTGTCTCCCTCTCTCTCTCTGCCCCTCCCCCTCTCACAGCCTTGGTCTCTCTCTCAAAATAAATAAACTTAAAAAAAAAAAAGATACTCTCTCCCTCTGGCCCTCTCCCATACAAGCGCAAGTACATGCTTGCTCTCTCTCCCAAAAATTAGGGGAAAAAAATTTTTTTTTTAATTTTTTAATCTCTGCACCAGTTTCCTTATCTGTACAGATAATAAAGCCCAACCTACCTAGCGGAGCTACTGTGAAGATCAAAACTCTGCAAACGGGAACCACACTGTAAAGCACTTTACGACATTAGTTTTCTAATATTTTAATACTGTCAGTTCCATACTTGACTCAACAAGTAAACCCAACCAAGAGCCTGTACTATCTCTCACCTCACCAGTGACTGACAAAGTTACATTCCTGCACAGGTCACATGTGAGGCAATGCACTGCGCTGAAATCCCAAACCCTGATCACATCAGTGAAGAGGACATTTGCTAGAGTTCTTTATTTTTTTAAGTTTATTTATTGAGAGAGAGAGAGAGAGGGAGAGCAAGCGAGGGAGCGCACCAGTGGGTAGGGACAGAGAGAGAGGAAATCCTAAGCAGGCCCTGAGCTGTCAGTGCGGAACCTGATGAAGGGCTCCCTCTCATGAATGGTAAGACCATGACCTCAGCCAAGATCAAGAGTCAGATGCTAAACCGACTTTAATTATAGCTAAGGTGGCCACACAGCCCACTCACCCCAGTTTGCATTGGCTGTTTCAACATAAGCATCACTTTTCACTCTCAAAGTTGCCCCAACTAGAATGATGACTTATTCACCCTAATGTAGCAGACATAAAATTGTGGCACCAAGAGGTGGCAAGGGGGTGGACTTGGGACTCCCACCGTCCTCTCCAGGAGCCACCTGAACGCTGCCCTAAATAAACAATGTTAGCAGGAAAAACCATGAGCTCGCCAGGCAGAACTAAGGCCCTCCTATCTACAAACCATGGAGCTAATACAAATATTCCCACATTGAAAGATATCACAAACCCATAAAATATTCCAGACTTCATCAACACTCAACTAAGCACCTGCGCGTATACCTAAACCACAAAGAAACAGCCAGGAATCTAAACCACTCTATCATATCGTCAACCCGAGCTGCCATGGCCTCAGATGAGAGACTCAGCCAGGCTTTCTGAGCTGGTTTTCACTTTGCAGATCTGGACAATGTCTGTCTCCTCCACCTCCACACAGAGGCTCATCGGCGGGCACAGTGGAGAGCTGGGGACGGCTTTACGATCACAGTGAGCTGTCATCCCATAAAACTTGCTAACTGACTGGGAAAGAAGGCTGAGGTAACTGCACATAAAAAAGCGGTGTCTTCCCCTCCTTTCCTCTACAGGTTTCCAATTAAACGTGTTGGTGGGCGCTTACGTAACACGATGAAAAAGGCCACTGAGCAAGGAGATGCTGGTACACCTCGTGCTCAAGAACCCAGGGGTAATAATCCTTACGCAGGGGTCACAGACTCTAGATCTGTGGCTGAGCTCCAAGAGGCCTATGAAACCCCCCAAACGACAAATGAAGCATGGGTGTGAGCAGGCACGCGTGCACACGGCCACATTCTTGCCCAAGTGAGTCAGTAATTGCCAGCACAGAGGAAAGGACCCTCACGAAGAGAAGAAAAGTTCATACTAACATGTATGGTTTCCTCGGATAAGTCACTTTATCTCCGGGTGCCTCAGTTTCCTGCTCTGCTTTATCTACTTCAAAAGGTGGCTATGAGGACATGGGGAGGAAACACGGATGACTGTGCTCTAGGAAGATCAGTAATTATTACAGTAATTTGGGAACCTGTCTCTTTTAAAATCACCATGAAATGCTGATTTAAAAAAAAAAAATGCTGTCTGGGAATGACTCCTATCTGTTTAGAAAGGAATAGCAAAAGAATAAGACAGGCAAATAAAGACACACAATTAAAATTCACCTTCACTTCACCCCTCTGGCTCCTGGATTTGCTGAGCCAAACCACTCCGGGACTCTGGGGAGATGTAAGGATCACAAGTTCAGTTTCTGCCCAGCTCAGGCTGTCCAGTGACCAGTGTTGCACACTGATACATGCCTCCCAAATCTCAGCGCACAAAGTGAGGGTTCACAAGGTTAGGCGCATTAATTAGCAGGACTCATTTGGATTCTGTATTCATCAAATACAACAAGCAGCCATTCAATATTTGCCTGTTTGCACTGCTCTAAGATCTTAAATTCAAAGATCCTGTCAGAGAACAAAATAAAGCCCAAGAAAATAAACTAGTATAAACCTGTCACCATTGGAATGTGCCTGAAAGTAAATTAGCAGCGTTAAACTATGGCAAAAGGGTCTGCACAGGCTTACACCAGAGACAGTGTGAGTAATGAGTGCGCAGGTACAGGAGTGTGTCCCGACCGCAAGAGAAAAAGAAAAGTAAAGTAGTTCCAAGCAACGAGACTACTTCTGCGCTTTAACAAATTCCTCTTAATTCCTTTTGCTTCGCTTCTTATTGATCTGTAAGCCCCACGGGAAGAACACAGCGTTATACAGTACCTTTCAGATCCTTTTAAACTCGGTACGTCTATACCCATACTTTACTTCAATTAGCCTTACCTTCCTACATCTAAAATAAGCCTCTATCCAAAATAAGCAACATTTTATAAATAAGTAAACATATGCATTGGTGTGCAAGCGTAGACAGAGACTGACCATGGTCCTTTGCGTTTGAAGGGTCCTAGGTGAAAAGTGCTGGATGACACAGAATGCGTCACTCCCTTAAAGTAGCCCCCAGGACTGCAGCTGTTGACCATGCCTGCAAAGCAGCAGTGCCTGTACGTATTTCTAAATAGGTGAATGGCCAAACACACGCTTGACCCCTTAGTCAGTCTCCGGGGGCTGGGTCTCTAGGTATTAGTACTTTTCCTGACATGAGGCCAAGATCTGGAACTACTGTCACAGGGCATAAAGTTCACAGCTTGTTACGAGAGCCCCAGAGCAGACTCAAACCAGAAAGAAAGAAAAAAATCCTCTATATTCTTTAGATCTGAGGGGCGCCTGGGGGACTCAGTCGGCTGGACATCAGACTCTTGATTTTGGCTCGGATCATGATCCCAGGGACATGGGACTGACTCTGCACTGAGCATGGAGCCTGTTTAAGATTCTTTCTCTCCCTCCCTCTGCTGCTCTCCCCCATTTGTGCTCTCTCTCTCAAAATAAGAAGAACAAACAATAAAATAAACTAAAGAAAAAGATTTGAAGTAAACGACTGCATGTTTTAACAAAAGCTTCCCTGGGGACAAACTTCAATTCCAACAGTGATGATCCCACTGGGAGATAAACACAGGGATGAACAACATTTTCCCTCCCCGTTTCTCCCTACCCTACCAGGGGCCAGCCTGATGCCAACCCAGCACCCAAAGTGCAAGAACGGGGCAAATCCCTGAAGCATCGTGGGCCCCTCAATAGAGGACTGCAGATTATAGGGTCATTCTGGTTTTCAAGATCAGCTCCACCAGGGACTCTGATGAGATTCATTTAACTTCCGGAAAGAAGAACTACGTCAACCCTTTAGTTTAACACTCTGATGACACATGTCCCTCGGACAAGCCTAAAGTTGGGAGCTTTTTTGGACAACCCTATGAGGAAGCTGGATAGGCATTCAAAGATATCACTAGGGGTAACCTTTCAAAGCTCCTAAAGGATATCAATATGCCCAAACAGCAAGGAGGTAAATTCCCAAGAAAAAAAATTTTTTTAATGTTTATTTATTTTGAGAGAAAGTATACAAGCAAGCGGGGAAGGGGCAGAGAAACAGGGAGACAGAGAATCCCAAGCAGGCTCCACACTGTCAGCACAGAGTCCAAAGCAGGGCTTGATCCCACGAACCATGAGATCATGACCTGAGCAAGTATCAAGAGTCGGGCACTTAACCGGCTGAGCCACCCGGACACTCCAAGGAGGTTACATTTCAGAGGGTCGGTATCTCAGGCCACAGCGTTTCCCTGGGGTGGCTTTACATGCCCCTCTACCCTAACTCATCTTCAGCCTCATTGGCTCAAGGTTTCAAACAGCAGAAGGACAAGGAAGGCATTTTATACTCTCACCTAAACAGCCCAGAGGACATCTCACAGGACACAGGGCTGCTCGAACCCACACTAGGGCCTGGGCTTTTTTCCAATCATCTTCCCAGTATAACAAAGAAAGGCAGCAGAACCATCCCTCTCTCAAGCTAGCCTTCCTGATTAAAACCATAAGGCTGAATTCCCCCAGGAAGGAGAATTTTTTTGTTGCAGATTTTTGCAAGGACTCAAAAAAAAAACCTGTGCAGGCAGGAGCTAAGTGGCAGAGAATTAAGAAACAAGCCCAGCACTTAGAATTATGAGACACCAAGAAAACCATGTTCCAAAATTACTGTAACAGCCTGGAGTAGAAAAAACAAAAGCAGTTACGTCTGTGCCTGCCTAATTTTTCCCCCAATAACATCCCCAATTTCAGACACGCCATTACAATTCTTTTAGGATTAAAAAATGTGTTTTATTTGTATCTCTAAATGTAAATTCACTGCCGAAACTAACCATGTCAACTCTCCAAAATACTTTCCAGAAATGCTCTCTACCAGAGCATCCTTGGGACGAACACACACACACACACACACACACACACACACACACACCCCGTCTGAGTTATAAACAGCAGATACCAACCTGGCTGTCCCGTGCTGGGAATCCATGATAACCTGGAGTCAGTGGCTCGTTCTAAGAGAAAAAGAAGAAAATCAAACTATAAGACAAAAGAAAACGTTTAAGAATCATCAAAATCATCCAAACTGATCAAATATAAATTCCTGCAACAGTTCCTAAGATGTTCTATCACTGCATTCCACTCTACACCCCTGTCAGCAGCCTCTACAATGGCAAAAACTAAGCCAAACAAACAAATAGTATTTGCTTCACAATCCTATTCATGAACACTATTTTCCTCCTTGTACAGCTCAATCGGTTCCCTTTGCAGTACCCCTCAAACAGGGAGCCACTGAAATTTGGGGCAAATCAACTCCTAACTCCACACTGTGAGACTTTAGCTTTCCTGGCCCTTAACCTCTAAAAGCCACCAGCAATCCTGAACACTAGGACAACCCAAAACGTCCACACATTTCTGGAAGTCACATGGCTACACAGTACCACCCCTACTGAGAACTACGTTTTAGCCACTCCCCCTCCCCCCCAATCAATATGCATTCCTTTAGTTCTTTGAACCCTACATGAAATCCCTATATCACCCTTTGGGACCCGAGTAACTCTAACCATGTATATATTAAAATGTATTTAGGCTGTTTTTACAATTTCCTTTTCGTATTATATATGACTTAATCAATCTTATTTTTGTAAAAGTATATCATATTGAGTGTCTCACCTTCACGTTAACCACTAAATCAAAATCCTTGAAGGCAAGAATGATAGTAAAAGCTGTGCAAACCCTATTAGTATGAGGCATATGATATGAGCACTCATTCATGGCTTGGCCCATTCAATAATCTGGTCAACATATACTGAATACCTAATTTTTTCCAAGTACTGCTGTGTGTGTGTGTGTGTGTGTGTGTGTGTGTGTGTGTGTGTGTACACACGATGACTCATAGTTGTCAGTAAGAAAGGTAAGTAACACAAGGCCCTTGTCTTCAAGTGAACTTTTAAGTGGGAAGAGAAAATAAAAGTGTAAATGAGAACATGCTTTTGTAATTTTTTTCAACATGCTCAATACCACTACCTGGAAGATACTCATCTTCTTCTTCCATCCATTTATACTTTCATTCTGACTAGCAGATTAACAAGGTACGAATTTTCACGGATGGGACTTTCATATATGGCAAAAGAGAACTTTCCAACCAATGGTCCACTTGCTTTGATTAGATCCTTGCCTCTGATAATCAAATACCCACACTGTTTTCAAAACCATGAAAGCCAGGAGACAACATAAGCTCACTGCAGAGATGCCATGTGTGTCCATCACAGTTTGCCTGCAATCTAGCACAGTGTCTAACACGTGGTGGGCACACAAAACAATGGGGAAATATATACATGGAGCTCAAAAAAGCACAAGCTATTTTGCCATCCGTCACTGATTCAATCACAGACAATCCACGTTCTCCTTTTTGATTCCTTAGTCTCTATTTTGGATTTTTATAAATTAAGTCTCCACAGAGAAAGCACACCAAAGATAACAGCCTTGAAAAATTATAGGTACCAAAACAATCCTGAGGAAGAATAAAGCTGAAGGACTCATGTTTCTAGATTTCAAAGCTTCCTGCAAAGTTACAGTCATCAACATAGTGTGAGACTGGCCTAAGGAATAGACCTACAGATCAATGGGCTACAACTGAGAGTCCAGAAATAAACCCAGAAGTTATAATCAACTGATTTTTGAAGAGGATGCCAAGAAGATCAAAGAAGGAAAGAACACTCTTCAACAAATGGTGAAACAAATGAATACCCACACGTAAAAGAATAAAGTCAAACGCTATCTCATACCATACAGAAAATTAACTCGAAATAGATCACAGACCTAAAACCACAAAACTCTTCGAAGCAAACACAGAAGTAAATCCTCACGACTTCAGGTTAGGCAACAGCTTCTTCAGTAGGACACCAAAAACACATGTGACAAAGGAAACAACAGATAACTGGGGCTTCAATGAAATTAAAAACTTCTGGGGCTCAAAAGACACCATCAATTCTGGGACTCTCCTGCCTAACATAGTGATTATAGTTAATAATACCATATTATCTACTTGAGAGTTGCAGGTCGCCTGCGTGGCTCAGTTGGTTAAGCATCCAACTCTTGGTTTTGGCTCAAGTCACGATCTCAGTTTGTGGGATGGAGCCCCATGATGGCTCTGTGCTGACAGCAGGGAACATGCTTGGGATATTCTCTCTCCCCCTCTCTCTGCCTCCCTCAATACAACTAAATCTTAAAAAAGAAAAAGAAGGGGTGTCTGGGTGGGCTCAGCGGTTAAGTGTCCAACATCAACTCAGGTCATGATCTCATGGTCCGTGAGTTCAAGCCTGGCATCGGGCTCTCTGCTGTCAGTGCAGAGCCCACTTCAGATCTTCTGTCTCCCTCTTTCTCTGTCCCTCCCCACCCTCTCAAAAATAAATATTTTTTAAAAAGTTCCCAAGAAAGTAGGTCTTAAATGTTCTCACCATAAAAAATAAGTGGCAATTCTGTGACATGAGGCGGGTGTTAGCTAACACTGTACTGGTCGTCACTTCCCAACATATACATGTACCCACTCAACACCTGTATACCTTCAACTTATACACAGTTACAGGTCAACTATACCTCAATAAAGTGAGGGGACTCCATTAAGTAAATGAAAAGACAACTCACAGAAGGGGAGAAAATACTGCAAGTCCTATGTCTGATAAGAGGCCTGTACTCAGAACATATGAAGAACTCTGAAAAAGGCAACCCAAATTTTAAAATGGGGAAGGATTTGCATATGAAGTTCTCCAAAGATGTACAAATGGCCAGTAAGTACATGAAAAGAAGCTCAACATTGTCAGTCATTAGCGAAATGTAAATCAAAACTGCAATGAGAAAATACTTCACACCTGTTATGGAAAAAAGAGGAACTTCAGTGAGGATGTGGAGAACCCAGACTCTCCCACACTGCTGGTAGGTGTGTAAAATGGTGCAGGCACTTGGGAAACAGTCTGGCAGCCCATCCAAATGTTACAAAAGAGTTACCGTATGACCCAGCGATTCCACTCTAGGTGTAAGGAAGAAAACTAAAAACACATATCCACACAAAACCTTGTTTCAGAAACGTACATGGCAGCTTTACTTCGTAATCGTCAAAAGCTCAAAACAACCCAAATGTCCACCAATCGCTGAATGCATAAATAAAGTAGGATATATCCATAACTGTATGTTATTGGGCAATACAAAGGAATGAAGTACTGATACAACACAGATAATCTTGAAAACACCATACTAAGTGTAAAAACAACAACAACAAAGGCAGCAAATTGTATGACTCCATTTTTATGAAATATCCACATTGGACAAGTCTACAGAGAAAGAAAAGAGATTAGCAGCTCTAGGGGATAAAAGGGCGGAATGGGAAATGAGTGGTAAGAGGTAATGGGCTTGTCTTTGGTGTTGACAATGTTCTGGAATTAGTGATGACAGATGTACAACCTTATGATTATACTAAAAACCGCCAAAGCACTAAAAACTACTAAAATCAATTTACAAAGGTGACATTTATGGTCCGTGAATTCTCTTTTATTTTTTAGCGTGTTATTTATTTTTGAGAAAGAAAGACAGAGACAGAGCATGAGCAGGGGAGGGGCAAAGAGGGAGACCCAGAATCTAAAGCAGGCTTCAGGCTCTGAACTGTCAGCACTGAGCCCAACATGGAGCTCGAACTCACAAACCAGGACACCATGACCTGAGCCAAAGTCGAAACTTAATTGACTGAGCCACCCAGGTGCCCCCCCAGCTTTTTTTTTATTTTAGAGAGCATGCAGCAGGAAAGAGGAAAGTACGGTGGGTGGTGGAGAGAGAGAGAAAGAGAGAGGATAAGAGAGAATCTTAAACAGATTCCACACTCAGCACAGAATCCAATGCAGGGCTCAATCCCACCATCCTGGGATCATGACCTGAACCTAAATCAGGAGTCAGACACTCAACCGAATGAGCCACTCAGGAGCCCCATGGTCTGTGAGTTCTATGTCAATCAACCTGTTATTTAATAATAGTAATAATAAATAGGCAATATTAGCTACTTTCACACCAATTTTTACAGGGGAGACATATACAGCTTAGACTATGACAAAAAGAACAGGGTTCCTTCTGAAATCCACAAGTGCCTTGTTTGTTCTGGATTCTGTAATTCACTTCAACATCATTCCCTGTGAATTTTAACAATGATGATGACAAAGGTGATGATAACTGCTAGATATTGAGCAATTAAATCAGGTATGGAGGGCAAGAGGAAGAGAAAACAGCAAGAGAAGGAGATAATAAAGCACAGGTACTAAGGGGGGAAAAATGATCAACCCAGGTCTGCTGGATGCCCAAGCCCCTGTTCTTTCCATTTTATCAAGTTCTCTTTTGTAATGACCACTCCACAATATTTAAGAAAACATTGGAGGAGCGCCTGGGTAGCTCAGTCGAGTGTCCAACTTTTGATTTCAGCTCAGGTAACAACGTCAATGTGGGATTGAGCCTCGCATCACATTCCATGTGCTGAGAGCAAGGGGACTGCTTAGGATTCTCTCTCTCCCTCTCTCTCCCTGTTCTTCCCCTGCTCACGCTGCCCTCTCTCTCCCTCAAAATAAATAAGCAAACTTAAAAAAAATAATAGAAAACACCCAAAAGCAAAATTAACATTCATCATTCCCAGAGAATATGCCATATATAAACTCTATTCTTGAGTTCAGCAAATGCAGAGAACTTTTTATAAGGAAAAAAAAAATCACATTCCTATCAGCCAGTATTGTCAGAAACTTTAACAGCAGAAGGGCGCTAATTGGGTGGCTTAGTTGGCTGAGCATCAGACTCCCGATTTCAGCTCAGGTCTGGGTCTCACATCAACAGGTCAAGCTCCACGTTGGGCTTCAGGCTGCCAAGACTGCTTGGGATTCTTTCTCTCCCTCTCTGTCCCTCCCCTGCACACATGCCCACTCGCTCTCGTTCTCCCTCTCAAAATAAATAAACTTAAAAAAACAAAGAAAAGAAAGGTTAACAG